GCCTCACCGGTCCTCCAAACCCTAAACCCTAAACCCTAAACCCTAAACCCTAACCCTCACCCACCGCCCACTCGCCCTCAGACCCTTCACAAGTGCCCACGCAAGTTCGGCTCTTCTGGGAAAACACCTTCTGCCAACTCGCGCTCTGCCTCACCGGTCCTCCAAACCCTAAACCCTAAACCCTAAACCCTAAACCCTAACCCTCACCCACCGCCCACTCGCCCTCAGACCCTTCACAAGTGCCCACGCAAGTTCGGCTCTTCTGGGAAAACACCTTCTGCCAACTCGCGCTCTGCCTCACCGGTCCTCCAAACCCTAAACCCTAGAGGCGGACCCTAAACCCTAACCCTCACCCACCGCCCACTCGCCCTCAGACCCTTCACAAGTGCCCACGCAAGTTCGGCTCTTCTGGGAAAACACCTTCTGCCAACTCGCGCTCTGCCTCACCGGTCCTCCAAACCCTAAACCCTAAACCCTAAACCCTAAACCCTAACCCTCACCCACCGCCCACTCGCCCTCAGACCCTTCACAAGTGCCCACGCAAGTTCGGCTCTTCTGGGAAAACACCTTCTGCCAACTCGCGCTCTGCCTCACCGGTCCTCCAAACCCTAAACCCTAAACCCTAAACCCTAAACCCTAACCCTCACCCACCGCCCACTCGCCCTCAGACCCTTCACAAGTGCCCACGCAAGTTCGGCTCTTCTGGGAAAACACCTTCTGCCAACTCGCGCTCTGCCTCACCGGTCCTCCAAACCCTAAACCCTAAACCCTAAACCCTAAACCCTAAACCCTAACCCACGCAAAAAGCTAGGAAGAGCGAATCAAGGCGCTCTCCTCACAATGAGCCCTCGCTCCACTCTGGATCATATCGCGTGCCAAACCCTAAACCCTAAACCCTAGCTCTCGTTCTACACCCCCGTAAACCCTAAACCCTAAGCCCTAGCTGTTTCCGCTCCGCGGTGATCCGCGATGCGCGTTTTTTCCTGTGGCGTCGCTGTGCGTGCCAAACCCTCGCTGCTGCGCTTGGGGCGCGCAAACCCTAAACCCTAAAAAAGGGTTTGTGCGGATCGCGTGCAGCGTTCTTGAAGAACCACCGGGAGACGATCGCGGAGCCGCTGGACGAGGAGACGAAAGGCTCGAGGTGTCTGTACACCCTGGAACTCCTCGTGGCCATCAGCGAAATTCCTCATGATCAAACTTTTCAAATTTGTTTGGACTTTTGGTTTTCTTTCGCCGAAACCCTTCTCCAAGAAGTCCAGCAGGAGGCCAAGGCAAACCCCAAACCCTAAACCCCAAACCCGAAACCCTACCCTCGAAAAATCCTGCCGATAGACCCCCCTGCACCCCACCCACCCACTCCCGAAACCCTAAACCCTAAACCCTAAACCCTCAGTCCCCAAGAAACGGCCTACTAGAGCTCCCTGCCCCCCAACTGCCCACTTCCGAAACCCTAAACCCTAAACCCTAAACCCTAGGTCCGCAAAAAACGGACCGATAGACCTCCCTGCGCCCCAACCACCCACTCCCTAAACCCTAAACCCTAAACCCTAGCGCTCCGGCCCGGCAGGCCCTTCCACGCTCTAAACCCTAAACCCTTAGCCCTAGCAGTCCGTCAAGCTCGCTAAACCCCAAACCCCAGCCGACGCCAAACCCTTGAAAACCCCAAACCCTAGTGGTCCCGCAGGCAGGCGCAAGGGCGCTTTGTACTGCTCCCCCCAAACCCTAAACCCTAATTCAGCTGTTTTGGTATCTTGGGTTTGTGTGCAGAAGAGGCAAGCCGAAATGAGCGCACAAGGGCCCCTGCTTTTGTCGGCAAACGCTGCAGAGTACTGTACGCTAAACCCTAAACCCTAAACCCTAAACCCTCGGGCCAGCAGGCCTTTTCAGGAAACCCTACCTCCCGCATCAAGGCTAAACCCTCCCGCCGCTGCGCCGGCTCTTGCAAACCCTAAACCCTAAACCCCAGGCCGTGGCGGCGAGCACCGCTGCACGTCTAGGGTTTAGGGTTTACTAGGGTTTAGACTTTAGGGTTTATGAGGGTTTACGAGGCTGCATTAGGCTTGATAATTGCAAATAGCAATTCCCAATTACTACTCCGGGTAGCTTAACGCGCACCCTCGTTCACCAGGGCGTAAAACACGGTTTAGGGTTTAGGGTTTAGGGTTTAGGGTTTAGGGTTTAGGTGTTGTTTCAGCGCCCGTTTCGGGGGTTTGGACCCCCGCGGAGTTGTCTTGGAGAGTAAGAAAGTACGGAAATGTTTTAAATGAATTAAGAAAAGTTTTAATCAAAAGAATGGCGAAGCCTCAGGAGGTGTACATACAGTTCGACCAGGAAACTGGAGAAGTCACTCGCGACTACGAAGTCGACACTGGTGATTATTATTTACTTATTTATTTATTTATTATTTATTTATTTATTTCAATTTAATTAATTAGTTGTTTGCTCGGCGTAGTTGGTTTAGTTTAATTCGTTTAGTTGTTTTGTTTTGTTTTATTCGTTTGGTGTTTTGCGGCTTTTTGGCTGGGGGTTTTATTCGCTAAATTAGCGTATTTGCTTTGCTGCTTTAATTCGAATATTTTGTTTCCTTTTTATTCCTTTTTTACTTCTTTTTTATTTACTTTTATCTCCTTTTTATTTCCTCTAATTCCTTTTATCTCTTTTTATTTTCTCTTTTAATTATTTTTAATTTCTTTTTTATTTCTTTTCATTTCTTTTTACCTGTTTTGCTTTGTTTGACCTCTTTTTAATTCTCTTTCATTTTATTTCTTTCGAATTTCTTTTCCGTTTCTTTTTGTTTCTTTTTTGTTTTATTTTCTTTTTTATTTCCAGTTTTAATTTAATGGTTTTGTTTTTCTAATTGCATTTAAATAAATCCACTTCTTCGGGTTTTATTTTCGAATTATCTTTAATTGCAATTCTGGCAATTTTATTTTCCTTTAATTCTTTTTGCTTTTTTGATTCTTTTAGTTCTTTTAATTCCACCAATTTAAAATCTTCAATCTTTTTCTTTTCTCACCCTTTTATTTATTTCAGTTCATTTAATTCATTTAATTCATTTAATTTGTTTAATTATTTAGTTTTTTAACTTATTTAATTTATTTAACTTCTTTAATTTATTTAATTTACTTGTTTCATTTAATTAAATAATTAATTTTCAACTTTCTTTTTTTCATTTTTTAATTGTTTTTTTTACTTTCAGAAATAAAATAAACCTTAGAAACCTTCTTGTGAATTCTTTTGAATTCATTTTTAGTTCTTTTTTGATCATTTTGAATCCTTTTTAGTTCTATTTAATTAATTTTAATTGATTTTAATTAATTTTAATTAATTTTAATTAGTTGTTACTTTTATTTATTTTTATTTGTTTTTATTTTTTTGTTTAGCTGAAGTTGCACTTTACAACACAATGCGCTGCACTCAAGTGCTGCTGACGAATTTGGGGCAGCTGGAGACGCAGCGGCTGATGTTGGGGGTTTTGAACCAAGAGGTAGGGTTTTGCAAACCCTAAACCCTCGTTGTCTCTTCATAAACCCTAAACCCTCGAACAACACACTCCCTAAACCCTCAGTTTGTCTCATAAACTCCCCGAAGCTTCATATTTTCCAAAACCAAAAAAATGGAAACCGAAAACCACACTTCCAACACCCAAACCCTAAACCCTAAACCCTAAACCCTAGAAACCACCCCAGGCCGCCTCCCCCCACCGCCCTTTCTCCGTAGCTCACCCCCACGCCTGACCCCCAAACCCTAAACCCTAAACCCTAACCGCGCATCCCAACAAACACCCCCGCCCCCCCAAACCCTCCCCCTTCTCCCCCAAACCCCAAACCCTAAACCCTAAACCCTAAACCCTAGAAACCACCCCGCCCCCCTTAGACCCTCCCCCCTCCCGCCCAAACCCCAAACCCTAGACCCTAACCGCGCGCGCCAAAACGCCGCTGCCGCGCAGCCCACCGCGAACGCCCAAACCCCAAACCCTAAACCCTAAACCCTAAACCCTCGCGGGGCGGCTGCTGTTTGTGCGCAGTGTTTGCAGGCCCCGCTCCAGGGGGAGTGCTGGGACTCGACGAGTTTGAATCGTTTGTGTTACAGCATTGGCTCGATAAGTGGGGCCATGGCCGAAACCCTAGAAAGGCCTTTTATAGTTGAAGTCATTCGAAACCTCCTCAACCTCTGCGAGGCCATGCGCGGCAAGGCCAACAAAGCCGTGAGGGTTTAGGGTCTAGGGTTTAGGGTTTAGGGTCTGGGGGTTTACGGGCGGTTGCGCTTGCGCGAGGGTTTGGGCCGTTGCCGAGGGTTTTGGCCGGGTTCGGAGGGTTTGGAGGGTTCGTGAGGGTTTGGAGAGATTTGGGAGGGTTTGGGGGGGGTTGGGAGGGTTTGGACGGGGTTTGGAGGGGGCTTGGGGGTTTGGCGAGGGTTTGGGGGTTTGCGAGGGTTTGGGGGGTTTCGCAGACGGTTTGGGAGCGGTTTGGGGGTTTGGAAGGGTTTAGGAGGGTTTACTAATGTCCAGGGTGGTTTAGGAAGCTTTGTCAGGGTTTAACAGGGTTTAAAAGGGTTAAGAGGGTTTAGAGGGTTTAAGAGGGTTTAGAAGGTCTAAGAGGGTTTAGAGGGTTTAAGATGGTTTGGGACTTTTAGAGTTTAGAAGGCTTGTAGGCCCTGGGATATGTAGCTGTGAGAGTTCTAGATTTCGGGATGCCTGCGCTGCTAGGGTTTAGGGTTTAGGGTTTAGGGTTTAGGGTTTTAGAGTAGAAGGCTCCGAGTTCACGGTGTAGGTTTTCGGGTGTTTCATTTGGGGTGCTATGTTCCTTGTTTCTTGTTTCCTACCTAGGGTATAGAATCTAGGCTTCAGGGTTTAGGGTTTAGGGTTTAGGGTTTAGGGTCGAAATTCAGAGTTTAAGCTTGAATATCTCGAGTTTGTGTAGTCGCGTGTGTGGTTTCGGGTACCAGTCTTCTCCTCAAAACTCCAAAAGCCAAATTGAAATTCTACATTTAGGGTTTAGGGTTTAGGGTTTAGGGTTTGTGCAGGTGGTGGCTA